CCCCAAAACCCCAAAACCCCAAAACCCCAAAACCCCTTAATTTATAAATTAAATTGAAATTGAGTTTGGGCAATTATTAAATTTACAAATGCAGAATCGGTATATTCGGAATATGTGTGAAGATGAGATATATGAGAGACTTGTAGAGAGTGATAGCAAAGATTCTTATATAGAGACACTGAGGAAGAGAATCAAGCTCTTGCAACATGAGTTGCATCTTTCTTCGAGTAAAAATAAGCAATGTTTGAAAGACATTAAATATTGGCAGGATTGCTCACTCACGCGGCTGCTAGACCTTGAGACGTTGAAGCTTCAAAATGTTAAATCTATAAAGAAAAGAGATTCAATTATTCAATCAAAGAGTCAGACTACTGATTCAAACTCACCTTGTTCTAATTGTGAGACTCTACTGTCTAAACAAGCAGAGGCCCAGGAGCTATTAGCAACAACAGAAAGGAGCCTGAGCCAAACTAAGGAAGCCCTCACAATGTCTAATGAAAGAATAGAAATACTTTCCAAAGAGTATGATGTTCTAACAAAATCCTACAAGCAAGAACAAGCTGAAGGATCAAAACTCAAAGATGAGTTTAACCAGTTCATGGTTGAATCTGATAAAAATCTAAGTAAGTATGTTCATGATAGAGAACTAGCAGAATCAAGATGAAAGTCTCTTTCAAAGGAAGTCTCGCAGCTCAAGGTCCAAAAAGATGCCACTGCCAAGGAAATATTATGATTCATCGAGAAGCTAGATACTTCCTCAAAAGAGGTTAAAAATCTCCAAAATCTACTGAAGCTTTCTGAAGTGAAGAATAGCTCACTCCAAACCCAACTCCAGCAAGAGACCGATACCAAAGATGCTGAGATTAAGAAGCTTAATTCTAAGATTGATGCTCTTGAGAAGTCTCTGAAAGAATCTGAAGAAGCTCAGAAAGCCCTTGAGCATAAAAGTAAGGAGTACCTCAGAAAGACGTTGAAGACCAGCACAGAAGTAAATAGGCTTAAAGCTAACCTTTCTCATTCCAAATAACGAGGCGAAGAAACTCAGGGAAGAGCTTAGTAGCTATAAGACTGCCTCAGAGGAAGGTAAACAGTCCTTAGAAGCATCATCAACTAAGGAAGAGGCTTCCCTCACCAGAGATAATAAATTCTCTGCAGCTAATTCCGATTTTGGATCTCCTAAAAGCTGTAAGTCTTTTGTTAGTGACGGGACAAAGCTCAGCAAACATTCAAGGCCATTTTTCCTTCCCAATAACTTGGTAAAGCGAGAGCAGAGGCTTACTGGAAATCTGTCAGAATTTGAAGCTAGATCAAGAAGGTTATCAGAGGTTTCTTCAGAGAGTATATTTGATTTTCCTAAACTCTCCAGTACAGGTATGACTCTCCCTGAAAAAGAGAGCTATCTGAAATCCTACGAAATATCTCTCTTAGCTAAGATAGATGACCTGAAGCAGAGAGAACTGGATCTGAAAGAGCAGGAGGGAAGCTTAAGTTACTTTCAAGATACAGTCTCAGTACTAAAATCCAGTCTTGCAGCTGCTTCCAAAGAAAACGAGACTTTAAGAAGAGTTTTCACAGAATATGTCACTACTAATGATGAAGAAGTTGCGAAACTAAAATCTGCAAATGAGAGAATTCAGAAGCGTGAGGATGAGACTAAAGATGTCAATGATAAAAATTTATCCATGCTCAAAGAGCAAACCCAAGCAATACTTGAACTTCAGAAAGATATTGAGCTCAAAGAGGCAATTAACCAAGAACTCAAAGACAGTGCCCATGATGCCCTCAACTCCCAAGCGTCCTTAAAGGAGAGAGTTGAAGAACTAGAAGCAGAAATAAGAGCTTTTAAAGACAAAAAGCCCAAGAAGGGTATAGAGCTGAAAGAAAAGAATGACAATGATAAAAGAATTGAGGAGGTTAAGAAAGCTCAATTTATTAAAGAACAAGAAGAGTAGTAGCGATCGTTAAAAATAGCATAATATCTGTAGCATTCTGTAAAATATTCAATTTTCCAAACTCGAAATGGGGTTTTGGGGTTTTGGGGTTTTGGGGTTTTGGGGTTTTGGGGTTTTGGGG